ATCCAATCTATACACTAACCGTGTGGATTCTGCGGATTCCTACTGTCGATATGTGGCGGAACTCGCTGGAAAAATTCCGCGGTTATCCTACAAGAATCCGGTGGGAAGGAATCACAAAATTCTGATGAATTCCCTGTCGTATCTGGTGAGGAACCAACGAGTTTATGTCTATTTTCTGCGGTTTTTCGGTCGATTCCGTGACAGTTCTGGTGTCTGAAATGCGTGACTTGAGTCTACATATTTCGTTCTTCGATAGAAAAAAAACGACTGACATCTTTCATATCAGAGGCAACATTTCGTGTAACGGTACTGAAGAGTAAGCATACAAGTCCGTTTAAGATTATATAAAATAAAACCGAGTGTCGTTCGTTTGACAAAAGCAACTCATAAGTCCCACTAACTCCCATGAAAAAAGCGCAACAAAGCAGGCCTTGCTTTCGTAATTGGTGCCAGTCTTATATCATTTTCTACCGCTGTTTTCATCATCGAAATTCAGAATTATTATAGTGAATATCGAAAATAGAAGGTATACGAAATGGCTAAATGTCAATGTCTCTCAGCAGAGTCTATGAAGGACATATGCAAAGCGAGAGGATGCCTGCGCACATTATGCTACAGAGCCAAATGGAATGTGCGTTTTTATCCAATACCACCAGACGAAATCGAAACTGACGATGCAAAGGCATGGACTTTCGCATCAAAGAAGCTATTCAACATTTCTATGAAGAAGAAAGCAAACGGTTAAAGGATAACATAGCATATGCTTACGCTATTATTTTCGAATAATTGCCTTTTGGCATTCAATGCTTACGGATCGAATTCGACAGCGTATAATAAAGCCTTAAAATACAAAGTAAGAGAAAGTTGAGCATTACTCGGATCACACACATGAAATCCTACGTTGCTTTTTTACTTTTTCCGGTCATCTATGGACATTATTCAAGATCGAGCGGAGAATACATTTTAGAGGTATTAATTAATTCATCCGCGAGAAACTAACAACGTAACCACATAATTGACTGAAAGTCAAGATATCTGACCAGCTTATCGGTCATGCACAGCAAACGATCCCAAATATATAGTGTTGAAACTAGAATATTCCAGAAGATGATGATAGAAATCATGAATCGAGATAAAAGGAAAAAATCATAGAAACTTCTAGAGTGTCCCCGAACACTAGACAAGAAACAGTTATGTAATTGTTTAATCTAGTTTCTATCTAGTTACCATATCACATTCCCATTATAGTTGTCGAAAGGAAAATTTTCTTCTAATTGCTGAAATAGGTTATCGAATTAGAGGCTATGGTTTCACAGTCTTAGAATTCGAAATTATTATCGATGCTTAAAATATAGAGCAAATTGGCAAATTTTATCTTTGGTCAGCGATACCACAGCAGTTTATTGTATTATTGTCATGCTCTAAGCAAAAAATCCCATCGAAAGTAAAAAAATACTACTTCCAAAGGTCCTCTTTCGGTTATTTTTTCGATATCCATAGTTAATTTCTAGCCAACGGTTCAAATTTGTTGAGCACATTAGTCTTTCTAGCGCAGAATTAGGACTCTTCGTAACAAGATGAAACTTGGAGAAATAGAAAAGGCAATGAAGATTCATTGTTTTACATAGAATCTATGGTTTTTGTTCCAAAATACGTACACGCTGTTCAGTGAAAAAATGTTCTTTTGTCGAAATCCAGAACGCTAATGTCATGTACTTGAAGAGCCAAAACTGAAGACTGCTGATATCTACGAACGTTTTCGATAAAACTAAGCAGTTGTCTGTTGAGTTCACTGGTTTATCTCTAACGCGCAGTTGTTGTAAACAGATAAAACAAGTTGAACTTCTTGGAACTGACATTTTCAAGATAAAACACATTTCATAAACAGAGGGTAAATGGACAAATTTTCTTCGAAAAGTAATGATCTTTTGAAAATAAAAAAGCGAACATTTCAAGTGGCATTCTCTTATTCCCATCTTTGATATTACTATAGTACCACTTTTATGAAATGTAGAATCTTTATATTTTGATCAAACTTTGTTGTTTTTTACAGGTTGGTTCATTCTACACATGTTGGTATATTACTACGAACTTTCGTCAAAACGAGATGGTTGATGATGTGGTTCAATGGGAAAAACCGAGTACACTTCTTCCTATTATATTAATCTTTTCAGGCATACTTATGGAACTTGTCTCATGCCCACTGCTCGTTTACTCATTTCAGATACTTGTTGAAATTGGTCAATGTAAGAAAAGGAATTCTGCTGATGAAAAGCATGAACAGGCCTATGCTCGTGCATCCAAGTTATAATGCTGATGTTTAATGTTCTCTTAATGACGTCTGCTATTTAATAAAGATTTCATCATTATTATAAAACCGATAGGGTACAATTCATTATAATATGAAAGTGTGGATACGCTTTAATAATGTGAAACTAGCGACTGATTCTAGTCGTTGTGTCACACTCACTTCCTGTGCAAAGATGAACGTTAGAATTTGTATAAAAAGATGTGCTTGACTTTTAGTTTATGTTCGAAATCGGTCAAACACTTGGTATATTCAGAAACAAAATTTCTGTCAAAAAATCGATCTTGAGTCCACTATAATTCGGACTACATGCATTCGAATAACGTCCAAACTGGAGGATATATGTAAGAAAAAACTTCTCTATCAAATGAGCCTATTAAATCTAAAAATTAGATGGGAGGGTTAGAGACTCCTTAAAACATTTTGTCAACTGGGCATGGATGAAAATCTCTTCATCGAGCTAACTGTATGCATGTATTGCAAGTCTAAACTATCAGATGTAAATACGATTCTATGGAGAAAATATCGTGCAAGCAACTAAACAACTTCTGTTCTTTTTACGATGTGAATTCTCGTGTTTTGCTTGCTATAATGATTGAATGACTTCGTCAATGGATGGAAGTCTATTCGAATACATTTACGACATCACCAACCGCAACCTTCAATACAGACATCTCATTCGTGTACGTCTTAGTGTTCCTTGAAGCAGAATCATTTGTACAGATTTGCTAATCTGCTATTGCATTTAGATGGTGACTGCAGTTATTTTCATGTACCTGAATAATCTTTCGTGATTCGTGATTCGTTATTTTCTTTTTTGATAAGATATTAGACTTTTAAAGTCGTTAAAGCTGAAATTGCGGACCTCCTTCTCGCGATTGAACCGAAACATGGATGTTGACTATGATCTCGCGTTACTAAACTTCTGCTCTAGAAATACTCAGGTAATTTCTTTTGTTTTAAAAAGATTAGATCAAGAATCAAACAAGCTCCTCACCATGTGCTATTTTAGAACCGTTGGATAACGCAAAATGCCTCTACTGGTTTATAATTCGGTTTTTTTACAGCGATACATTTATATACTATGTTGTTCTCCTCCGAAGCGACTGTGCTTGAGATATATAACTCATCATCATTCACATTTAGATAGTAGGGATAGTTATCACCGACCTTCAGGTGTTTATGGAATCATTAATGATAATTCAACAGACACATCTAGAAAATCGATTCATACACTCAAATTCATTATAACAATCAAAATAAAACAGATAGTGAAAGAAAAGTTGATCAGGTCAACAGATGAATGTCACTATACACATTATTTGTTTTTATCATGTTAGATTTCTTTCTTTTCTATTCTTCTAATGAAGAAAATAGTGTGCGTAATATGAGTCAGTTGCATCATTCGATAAAAATGGGAGCACGACTATTGTATGTCAAACAATTGTGTGTAAGACGATTGTGTGCAGACAATTATGTGTATGGACAACTGTGTGCAAGGCAATTGTGTGAACAGACAATTGTATTTTAGATAATTGTGCGCAGATAATTGTGTGCAAAATGAATATGTGCTATACTCAAATAAGTATTATTATAATAAAGTGAAATACCATGAACAAAAAAAGCAGACAAAATAACGAAAATAAATCAACATGAACAAATCAATAAACAAAAAAATAGACAAAATAACAAAATTAATCAAGATGAACAAATTAATGAATAATTACAACATGAAGGTATGAGCAATCGCTTTTAATTTTTGTATATTATCATTTGTAGGATTTTCTAAGATCCGCAAAACTCTCGATGCTGTGTGTTGAGTTTTTATCCTCTTTGGTTTTGGTACCAGACCTGTTACCACTTGAGAAATTTCACCGTCTACATATGATTGCTCTGTTTGTAGATTGCTCAAAAAACGCCAAAATCCGGGATGGGCTGAATCCACGATATTGCTAAGTCGTCGATGCCACCCTTCGACAGTGTTGTTTGTATGATTGAAATGGCTGCTTAACAGATTTTGTACATGCCAAAATGCGATTGGAAACGGCAGAATTGTCCTTCTGTTGCGACTTCGAAATCTACCGATGTAGTAATCTTCAAAATAATTGGAAAGTGGATCAATATCTGGAATTTGTAGATCACCAATATCTTCAAATGTTGAATAGATATCATCTATTTCCAAAATAGCTAATGCAGGAAGCATGCGTACTGCATGTGTATATTCTTCGTCCTCTCCATATTTAGTTGTAAAACCTGCTTTTTGAACTTGTCGATAGATATTTTGTGTCAGGTGAAAAAAGCAAGCATGAACATTTGATTAAGGCCAACAGGAACTAATAGCTTTCATTGCTCCAGATTCAAAATCAATAAGAATTGAACTAGGATTGAACAGTGGTCTTAATGACGTAAGAGCATCATAAACTCTCTTGTAATTTTCTTCGTTTTTACGAGGCATAAGAATATAAGCCAGTGGTATGATATTTCCTTGTATTGAACCATGAATTGAGTACAGTTGGTAAAAAAGCTCAGGGACGACCTTGAATGTGCCATCCATATAAACTTCTGTACAGGATTGAAGGAGATGAAGTTGTTGGTTCGTTGCAAATATTAAAAATCGATCCGAATCTTGGTTTCCTGAGTCGTATTGTAGAAATTGTTCTTTTTTCTTTGTAACAGCAAATGAGCTGGTTATTTATATTTCTGATATTGATCGAGGATTTGTTGGAAAATTTAGATTTGCAGCACGTTGTCGACAGGCGGTGCGCTTCAGGTTGTTGATAGGCGGAAGCTGGCTTAACAGTGCAGTTGATGCCGTAGCAAGTGATGTGGCAACAATCGAATGTGTAGTCATTGTTGTTTTATACAAGCCACGCAGTTCAGAACGATATTGACGAATTCCACTTATACTAGGATTTGGAACATGATTATGATCGCCGACTCGATGACAAATTGTGCTATTAGTTGTATGCAATCTAGCTTTACATTTTTGTTTATTGCATTGTAAACAACGCCAGTATACTTTATTTTCATGAGTACGTTTTTGAATGTAATCAAAACCATTCTCGATGAGAACTGACTTGCCATTTTCGGTTGTAGAAAATAAAACTGACATGATGTGTTTGTACTTTCAATGTGATCTATACAATGGTGGATTCTGAATAACTTCTCATCTCATTCATTTAAATATTGAGCATGAAAATTGATCATTTTCATGCTCTTTTTCATTAGTATTAATCAGTGCAAATGAAATTAGTCAACATGCGCACGATCGTCTGTTCTCATAATTGTCTTACACACAATAGTCATAGACCTGATCAAAATATGTCACTAGATTTTTTTCTCACCTACTCAGTTGACCAGATTTTTTATTTATATAAAATCTTTATTAATCACATCTTAGCATTAGATTTGTTTAACAATGAAAAAATTCAATTAGAAAATAAACTAATCTAAGAGAAATCAGTGATCAATTTCAGCTAAAATCCTTTTCAAATAATTGTCTCTGCTTGATAGCACTTAATTCAAATCGATATTGAACAACTTCTGAATGATTATTTGGCAATGTTTTACATAATTGTTCAATTCCTTGTTCAGCTGATATCAATGCTTCATCATACTGTTTTAATCTGAAAAAAGATCTGGAAAGATCCATATAAATATAACCAATTTGTTTGTCATTATCCGGTAATATTTTCAAGGCAATGTTAAGCGTCTTTTGATAGAGAACAACAGCTTCAATATCCATATCCAATTGACAATAAACTCTAGCAGGTCGATGATAGACAAGCATTAATGAAGGATCATCTTCTGATAAATGATTTTGATATAATTCAAGAGCTTCTTGATAATAGATTAATGCTTCTTGATATTTTTTTTGTTCTTGAAAAATATATCCAACATAATGAACAAACGCTGCCAGAGTGTTAACATCAGTTAGAAGGGTTTTCTTCGATTGTTCAACTGCTTTGAGAGCATATTCTAAAGCATTTGACCAAAGCGATAAACCAACATAGGCTGTGGAAATATCATGATAACTTGTAGCAATAGAACAATGATCATCAGATAATGAATTTTGTTCAATTTCTAATGCTTTTGTGTAATTAGGTAATGCCTCTTCAAATTGTTCTTGATTATAAAAGGTTTTTGCGATAAGATTATAAGTTTGAGCTAATGCTGGATTGTTCGGTAAAAGGTATTGTTGTTGAATTTCAAGTGCACGCTTAAAATGAGTCAATGCGTGTTGATATTGTTTTTGTGAAAGACAGACAATGCCGTCTTTTATTAACGAGTCAACCAATACTGATGGATCTAGTTCAGTAATACTTTTTTGTAATGAAGCACTTTTTTCGCGATACGAAGCTGAACAGAAAAAAAAAAGAGAATAAAACTAGTTGAAAGAGAGAATCTATGGTGCCTACTAGATTGTTCGTAATCACCTTGTTTGTAGTAAATTGAACTAATTAAACTGTAAGTTTTTCTAACGGATGGATCATTCTCACCAAAATGTCCTATTTGTAATTCGAGAGCACGTTTGTAATAATCTAGAGCTTCACTGTATTTTTCTTGGTTATCATAAGTTGACGCGATATGTTTCATATAAGTTATAATTGATGATACATCCGGATTAGCTGAATTTACCTGACAATCCAAAGCCATCTGTTGATATTCCAACGCTTTCGTATAATCATATAGTGCGTCATATACGACACCAATATACGAATACGTTGGTGATAACACTGGATGATTAACCGGTAGATCACTCATATGAATGTTGAGCGTTTGCTGAAAATGTTCCAAAGCCTCTTTGTTTTGTCCTCGATCATAATAAATTGAACCAAACGTATGATGAACACCAGCAAGTATCATTGAATTAGCAGCTACTCCAATATCATCACGAAGCATCTCAGCAAACTGATCAATACAACTGTATTCTCCTAATTTGTGCATTAATCTTAGAAGTGATAAGAAAGAATGAAATGAACGAGTTTGATTACGAGTCACTTTTGTATATTCTTCTAATTGTTCATCAACATCATTACTTAATGTTAATTGAACACGATAAAAATCTTTCTCTTTCTCAATACGAACAATACGAAAGACACTACCCATTGCAAAAAGAAGTTCTTGTTCACACTCCTTCCTTTGTAAATAAGGTATTTGTTCAATATTAATAAATGGACATTTTTGTATTGCTGGATCGATTTGCATTTGAAATAAAACACCATTTTCCAATCCCCAGAGGAAATTCATCGCAATATCTTGTTTAAGTGAAGTTGATAAAAAATTATTAAAACTAAGAAACCCACCAACATTTCCTTTGAGTTTATCAATTTGATCAAGTGACATAGTTTGACCACGATAAACAGTCATTGATGATAAATGTTGACGTTGTTTTGATGCTTCAGATAAGATTTGATAATAAAGATGACGAAGAAAATATCTTAATTTATAAAGAACATCTGGTTGTGGTGTATATAATGCTTTGTTTAACATTTTATAGAGAAAACATTCTTTGACATACCAATAGATGGAAAGTTCGGGAATAAAATCTTTTTCAAATTCGTCTAAAACAAGAATTGTGTTTGGACACTCAGCATAAACTTTCCGAGTATAAGATAACATATCTGCTTTAGTTTGTTCTTCTGATTCGAAGAGACAATCTTTTAAAATAATATCTTTTAATAATTGAAAATACATAAATGATGGATCTTGTCGATTAACATCACGTGAATTTATATCCGAAGATGAAATAAATGAAATTGCAAAAGAATCATTATTTTTTTCCTGTTTAATAGTATCTTGTTTTAATCGATCACAAATTAATGTTATATCATTAAAAATTCCTTTTATTTTTTTATAATCTTCTGTCCATTGATCATCTGATGATTTATTTCCATGAAATATATAAATTGAGTCAATTTGTTCGAAAGGATGAATTGTAGGAACAATAATTCTCCCTAATATATTTGAGGTAATAAAAAATATTTTCGCGTCAGTGGTGTTGGTAATAAAATCCACACAGTAGTTTGAGTCGTTGAAAGTGACAAAGGTTTTAATAATAGTTCGAAGTTGATCTTGAGTATCAATATATTCGACTGATCGTATTAGTCGATTATCAAGCCAAACACAAACAAATCTTTGATCAACTTTTTTCTCAGTCATTATTTTTAGTTATGAAGAATATTTGACAAACAGTTGTCTTTTCATTGGGGAAAAAACCAAGTTAAATAAAACGTGTAGCATTTTTTTTCTTTTTCTCTTAAAAAGAAATTATTTATTGACTTTGACTGTGATAGACGAGTACGCAGTCGAAACGAGAAAAACGGTTTATGATGAAGAATAGAAGAAAAACAAATCGTCCAAGTTTCTTAATGAAGAATTGTGATTCTATTCATTGTTTTAACAATGATTTTGTTGAAGCTAGAAATGGTGAACGTGTCTGATAAGCTGACACTTTCGCACCGATATGAATATATCTATCTAAAATGCTGAAATTCTATTTAATTAATATCGTTGATCAATTAGAAAACAGATCAACCTATCTCTTAATGAAAAGACAAGTTCAATCTGCTAGTCTCAGCTCTTGCTTTTCAGCAATCAATCTCCTGTAGAAAATCAAATTAAAATTGAATAAATATAAATAAATATGCTTGAATGAATATAATGAAAGAAATGCAAAGTTAATTTTGACGGTGTGTGTGTGGCTGTTGTTTACATCTATCTTCACACCCACGCCCACACACACTATTTCGTGAACTTAAAATAGTCAAATGGATCAAGCGACAAATACTGAATTACAATTGCTTGTGTAACGTTTCAAACGTCTTTACAACAAGAACCGAAGAACGAACCGTTGATGAACAGATCGAAGAAACGAGTTTTTGAAACTTTGTGGCACAGTGGTTCTGGTTGTGAGTTTCGTTATTCTCAGTTTCGCTTATATCCACATTCTCACTACTTCGCTAAAAGGGACTACAGAATACCTATGTGCATAACCTTATCTGTTGATACAAACACTTTGAACATACAGTGCTTATATCGTCGATAATTTTAGCTTGATCGAGTCTCAAGGTACGTGAACATTCATCCTTCAAGCTTTTTCTTTAAATGTGTAACTATATTGCTCTATCGAAAAGTATTACTGATCAGTAGGACAGCATTCAGGCTGTCGAGAGTGAGCGTAAATACATGAATTCTAACCTACTTACAAGGATAATTCCGTATGGGCCTTAATCTATTCATCATTAGATAAATTTGGAATTCGAATATATTCTATATTTCGATTCTCACCCAGGTCAGATGAAAGGTCTATAAAAGTTCGACATACAAGAAAAACTTGCAACGATCCCTTGTCAAATATTGAGATAAGAGAAACATAAATAAGAATAATGTTGAGAACATAGGTGAAGTTATCACTCGATTCGAGTAATTCTACTCTCGATTTATCCTGGAAATGTTCCAAAGTTCATGTCCTTGTTCCAAGTAGAACTCATTGAGCTCTATCTAGTAGTATAGCCAAATTTTCTACATGTCAAATTATATTTTCAAAACTCCTAAAATTCTGGTATTTCCCTACAGAAAGTGTGAGTAAACTAAAGTAAAAGTACCACCGATTCGCTCAGGAACCTGTTCTAGAGTGCTTATTAGCATTCCAAGTACAACTCGGTGAGCTTGGTCCAATGTTACAATAACATTTTGCGTAGCTTGAAACATACTCCCTAAAATCGCAATACATCGGTATTTTCCCTTTATTTTTCCAATGTAACAGGATAGGAGTCGTCCAGGAACTTGCTTCGAATTCGATATTGTTCTTCGAAGTACAACTCAATGAGCTTTAGTCAATAGTAAAGTTTGAATTTCTATAGCTCAAATATGGCAGTGAAACTATTATCCGTTTCAAAATAGAATGTCCGTCGCTGTTTTTTGAATATCTCAAGTCAGGAACAAGCTAGAGACCTGCGGTTTTCACCAGTCCAAAGAGGAGACTAAGGGGCATCTTTCTCTCCGATAATGTGTAAGAGAAATTCCTTTTAAAACTAATTATTCTCGAAAAACATGTAAAAGAAGGGATGAAAATTGCCTGTCATCTAGATAAAAGTTTGATTTTGACCT